ATAAATAAATAGATAGATAAATAAATAAAAAGACTAGACAGGGTTAGACTAGCGGTGAGCAGAGGGGTCCGGTGCACTGGGTACCAGTGCCACCTGGCCTTGACATAAACCTGACACAGCACCGACCGTTGAGTTCCCTCATCTTGACACTGACCCGACATCAAGTCAGTCCAACGCAGGAAGCTACAATGGCTGCAGCCTCATGCGGAGACGGGACAGCATCAGAGTCAGGACCCCAGGACACGGGTCTGTTCCAGGCTGTGAGAAACAAAAGCCTTGCCTACGAGGTGCCCTCAACTCTGTGGCCACACTCAATCTGGCCAATGGAGTCTCAGTTTCCCAGGATGAGCTAATACAGCTGCGAAAACAAGCCCTGCCCCGCCCCAACCCCCCTCAGATGTGTCACGGAGGGAGGGGTTCACTCCTCCCTCCAGCAGACCCCCGGAGGGTCTACTGCTTTCTCCCAGCACACCCCCCCACCCCCGCCCCTAGTCAAGATATTCACACTTGGTCTGCAGGCTACAGCAGCAAGCTACACAACAACTCTGAGTGCTATGTTAGCATCTAAGGGAAATCGAGGCAAAGATGCAAACATAGGTAAGGTGTGGCTCCCTTCCCTGACCTTTGGAGAGGTTGCATTCTGGCACCGCCACTCCTGAAAGTCATTCCTGCATCTTCTCATCACCTGCTGGTTTCCTGAGTGCTACCCCTTCTGCTCAAGAGGCCAGGCCTGGCTCTACTTGCTCCTGGGCTCTCCCCAGCTCTTCCTACAGGGGCTGGCCAAAGAAAAGCTAAATGCAGGGAGAAGGGGCCATCTGCCTCTCTGGTAGAGCCGGTTTGTTTACCCAAGGGCTCAGGAGAACCAGACACACAAAACCTTCACAGGGACCTTTATAGGAGGAAGCCTGATACGGGGGAGGGAGCCCTGTGCCTCAGCTGTGATTAAGGCTTTCCCAGGCCTGGGACCCACCGTGTTTTATAAGGTTCATCGGAAGACGAAAGGTGTGTTATCAAATGGTGAGGTGTGGTTTATTTGCACAGTCGGGACGATAAAACGCCAGGCAAGAGCTTCCTATAAACGTTGGTCTTGAACTTTCCAAGACATCCAAGTTCAACACTACAGAGGCTCAGCCAGCTCTAGCCTCGAGTGGAAAAGACTGGTTTCTACTGCCCTGGCTTCCCAAAAGGCTCAATTCTTTATTAAAAGTTACTAAAAGCGCCGGGCGTTGGTGGCGCATGCCTTTAATCCCAGCACTTGGGAGGCAGAGGCAGGCGGATCTCTGAGTTCGAGGCCAGCCTGGTCTACAGAGTGAGTTCCAGGACAGCCTCCAAAGCCACAGAGAAACCCTGTCTGGAAAAACCAAAAAAAAAGTTACTAAGGGGGGGGGGGGGGGGGGGGAGAGAAAGATGAAGACCCCCACCAGAATCCATATTGTAACACAAAAGTAGTAATAACAGGCCCAGAAGACTCGATTCACAGGGAAAGACAGGGTTCAATGAAGACAGACACCCCCCCACCCCCGCAAGGAAGTTGCAGAAACTTCTGGCTTCGTGCCCTGCTCATTTGCAGGACAAATGGCTTGTGTGCAATGAGAATATGTTCACCAGGATGCCCCATCCTGCCCTTGTGGGAAAGGGGGGGACTCTCCCAGGGTCGGACCGCCTTGGTGAACTCTTAGCCAAAAGCTTTGAAGCGAAGATAGTAAAGCAACTATCAGGAGCCGGTCTGGGCTTCCGCAATCCTGAAGCCATTGTCTGTCCCTCCTTCCTTCCCACCCTTGGAATGACTGAGTGGCCTTGAAGCCTTGATGGCTTCCAGCTGTGGGATGTCCCCCCCCCCCCATGCTAGCTGTTCTTAAAGAGCACAGGGCCGACATCTGAGATTGAGAACCTGCTCCAGCCAGTGACTAGCTGATATCCATCAGCCTGTCTACAGCCAAGCTTAAGGGAAACATCTGTTGCCTGTGGGGCTGAGGAGGCACACTCTAACCCGAAGAGAAAAAAAAAAAGCTAATAATGGTGGAAGAGACATGCTAAAACTACTAAACTCCGACCGTAAAATAAATTCACTGTAGCATTCCACTGGGCAAACACTTAATCATCATCTATCTGCCCAGCCACATGGGGGAAGGGGGGGGGGGGGAGGCATGGAAGCATCAGAAAGCAGCCAGCCGCAAAGGCACCCAAAACATTGCAGATACTTGACGGGAATCATTTTTTTTAATCATGAAACCTTTAAAAAATGTTGTTTACTGTTAACTATTGCCTTACTTCAAGGACTTGAAAGCAGGTACTCGCCAGGCGGTGGTGGCGCACGCCTTTAATCCCATCACTCGGGAAGCAGAGGCAGGCGGATCTCTGTGAGTTCGAGGCCCGGCTGGACCGACAGCCTCCAAAACAATACAGAGAAACCCTGTCTCGTAAAACCAAAAAAAAAAAAAAAAGAAAGAAAGAAAGAAAAAGAAAGAAAGCAGGTACTCAGGACACTGTCCAAGAGAAACAAAGCAAGTATCATAGGAGAAAGTGGAATTTTTTTCCCCCAGGCAGCGTGCTTCTACCTAGACAACCAAAGTCTGAAAAGCTCCACCCACCCCCCTCCCCCAGCCACTGCCTAAGGCAATGGGCTAAACCAACAACGGGGCCATTGAGGAGGGAGGGCAGGGAGTTTCGGGAGGGACGGAAGGAAAGGAAGGGTTAAAAATGGAAAGAATGGCTATCAAAAACTATGAAGATAAATACTCTGTGCATGGACAAGGCTGTGCGTGAAGGCAGCGAGAATGACCTCCGCGGTGTTCCTCTGGTGTCATCTACCTTTATTCTGAGACAGGATCTCTCTCTGGCCAGGGTCTGACCAAACAGGCTAGGATGGACGGCCAGAGAGCCCAAGGGATTCACTTGTCTCCATGTCCTCAACCCTGAGATTACACCGTCACGACAGGATTTTAAAACGTGGGTTCTGGACACCAAAACCAGGTCCTGTGCTTGTACATGAACAGCTCCGTTAGCTCCAGCCCCCGAAATAATTTTACAAGACGAAAATGCAAGTCTATATGACACAGTTTCTCCTCTGATGGGGGCTGGGCAAGGAGCTGTCTGTGAAGAGCCGCAGTTGACTACAGTACAGAGATCCCTCGGTCTGCACACACAGCAGCATTTGATAGTTCCTCTACCTCAGCCTGCACAGGAACACCACTGAACAGAGAGCACTGCTGGATCCTGGGCTCCTAACAAGATGAAAAAGGAAAGAGAAATGAATACTTCACCAAACCAGTCTGGCAAGGCAGAGAGAGAACGCTGGGGGGAGGGGGCAGGAAGGCAGAATTCTCAGCGGGCGGCAGGTGCTTTCCCTGTGCATTCTACAATTCCAGAAATTAGCAGTGGCTTTGTACACTCGAACGTGAAGTCCCGGGCCAAGTCCCGGAAAGGTGAACTCCTCGGCAAGAAAATTAAAAAGGTACAAAGGCCACTCGGCATGTGCGATAAAATTAGTAGTTTTAAACGCAGTCATTCTGAGGTTTATCTTTCCCTCAGACATTTAATTCACACTCCCTGAACAATGTTGTGAAATAAATATAACTTACTGAATCATGCCCCATAAATGATTAAATGATGTGTTACCACCGTTAATGCGGACTATTAAGTTCCAGACACTCTGGCCAACAGAAACAATGAGCGAATGGATTGCTCCCCCCCCCCCCGCTCTAGAAAAACAGGTGTGTTGGGCTGGAGAGAGATGGCTCAGAGGTTAAGAGCACTGACTGCTCTTCCAGGGATCCTGAGTTCAATTCCCCGCAACCACATGGTGGCTCACAACCACATCTACAATTCAATCCGGTGTCTTCTTCTGGCATACAGGCAGAACACTGTATATGTAATAAATAAATAAATCTTTAAAACAAAAAAAAAAAGAAAAGAAAAGAAAAACAGGTGTGTTCCAAAAGGCTGTCTCGAAGGAGTCAAGACTGGTCTTCTTCCTCTGCAATCAACGACCCACACAGTGGTAGGTCACCAAGACAGAACACAGCAGAGGAGACATGATCTGTGCTGAGGGGCCTCTGGCTGGTCAAGGCCAAGAATGGCAGTCACAGAGACTGGGGGGACCCCAACGGGCTACACCCCAGATGCGGCAGGGCGCCTTAGTCTAGCTGCTTAAAGCAGGAGGCTGGAAGAGACCCAGGCAGCTCTCCACAAAAGGTGCCGAGGACCTGGGACCAAGAGGAGCAGAAGATGCTGGCTCCGCCTACCCCATGGTTGCTTTCCTGGCCCCGGGGATGGTGGGACGGAGATGCTTTTGGTTCTACAGAAGCCACAAGGAAACCCTGGGCCAAGGTTTTCTAAGCCCCACCCTCACCCCATATAGGAAGACCATGAGACCATGAGCTCACTTGCTCCCTATTTCCTCATGAGGAACTTTGACACTTTGCTAGGGATGACGTTACTCGGGCCCAACGCACGCACGCTCACACCAGTGAGAGAGCTATCTGTGATAACAACAAATTAAGCCCACAGTCCACTTAGAGCACCTCCCTTGCCTCCAACGCCAATATTGACATAGATGTTACACTTCCTTAGATGGAGTTACACCACGGGATACGTACTATTGAGTTGTACTTCAAATACACAGGCACGCTACATACAATGCATAAAATGCGCATACACACAGGTGATGACATCTGTTTGTGTCTGGGGAAGTCAACAGTGAAACTGCAGCTAAGCCATCGATGCCACTATACGCACGGGTAGCTCAGGTACAGGTCTGAGACACACCTCACTCAGAACCGGAACGGATGAGTGATGCCTTGTTAGGAGTGAGGTGGCAGGCACACAGACAGACCAACCCACAGTACACTTCATGTCACCGGGCCATCGGTGACCTTCCCAATGCCTGCTGGGAGTGAGGACAGAGGCATCTGAGCACACAGACCCTCAGTACGCCTCAGGTCACCGGTGCCCTCCCCATTTCCAGGGGCCCACACCCCTTGAACAAAGCCCTGGCTTACTGGGACTTCAAAGGCCTCCTGGGTGTCATCCAGCATCTGGATTTTGATGGTCATGAGTTTTCCTGAAGGTGTGGGTGGCGGTTTCTGTCCTCGTTCCAAGGTGCTGATCCCCGAATTCTCCTGGGCCCCCAGGCGTGATGCTGGGGTAGGCTTCTGCTCTATTTCCCCCATGACGACAACAGCAGCTTACTTAATACCTGCAGGAAACAATCAGAGAGCCGTGTCAGGAGAAAGGGCTCCTCGAAAGCTACCAAGGTCGCTCCTGCCGCACCTCCCCCTGCTTTGGGACTCGACACCAGGTTAAGAGAGCCCCTCCCCCCCCGACTCTCCGAGAGCAGGAGCCGCGCACTGCAGCCTCCAGCGTGCCTGCCTGAAACGTCTCACGCAGGCATTCAAATCTTTCTTCACACTGCCCATGCATTTTTTTTTTTTTTGGTTTTTTACGAGACAGGGTTTCTCTGTTTTGGAGGCTGTGGGTCCAGCCCGGCCTCGAACTCACAGAGATCCGCCTGCCTCTGCCTCCCGAGTGCTGGGATTAAAGGCGTGCGACACCAACACCTGGCTGCCCATGCATTTTTGCATACTGACTGTCTTTACTCTTTTCTAGCTTCACAGCCGGCTCTTAATTATCCATACCACAGACTCAGCTGGGCTCCACTCTGTCATTCTGGGTCTCTGATCACCAGCTCCACTGTCCGCACCTCCAAAGGCTGGTGGGAAGATCCCAACAGGACCAGGGCTCTATCATTTCAACCAACTAATTATCTTGTAGGGACTCAGTCGCACACTAAGGAACGTGGTCACACACCAAGGCTCCCCAGTTGATGAGCTGAGGAGATAAACCCAGGGGGATGGGAGCCTGTGGCTGGGGCTCTGCTCTCCAGTCCTGAAACTGGTTCTAATGATGACAACTTTGCCCACTGGATCTTTCTTGCCACCCAACCCTCCAACTACGTCCCCCTCCTTTCCCAGGACGCCACTGTACACATCCTAATCATCGACAAAGGCTTTTTTCCAAAAGCAAACCACCCTCTTTGTTCCCCCCCAAGCAGTCCACCCTTTCTCCTCTCAGGACGCCCCGCCCATGTCCCCTCCTCCCACAGGTTCTCCCTGGCTGAACACACTCCTTCCCCTACCTGGAAACTCAATTGCTTCAAACGTCGGATCAAATGACACTTCCTGGAAACTACTGGGGGCAAGCTTGGGTGCTGTGCTCACGGTCTGAGCCCAAGTAACTCAGCAAGGCCCAGCCTTTTTTAACCTCTGCACTTGGCACCAGGAACACCCAAAAGGGGGCCCTTATCTCGAGTGCTCCCTGAACCTCAGTACCTTACTGAGGCTCGACCATCACAAAGCCCAAAATGGCTGCTGAATGGTGGACAGCTCTCTGGCTGCAGGTTCTGTGTCGCCACAAAGCACAGGAATGCTGGGGCGTCAGCTCAAGATACGACAGTTAAGGGGGGGTGGCCTCTGTCCGGGAGGAAGGGGGACCTGAACCCAGTCTGGCTGCACACCCTGGAAAACACATACAAGGAAGCAGGAAGCACAGAAGGGGAAGACCTTCCAGGAAACTGAACGGCGCTTTGTGGGAGACCTAAGATGGGCCTGGGCCTGGGGAGAGGGCTACTGGCAAAGACACTCGACACTCGCCAGGTCCATGCCCTGCACGGGGGAAGCAGACTTGGGAGAGCCCTTGGAGCTCGCAGGCTAACAGCAAGCAGATCAGTGAACCCCGTTGTGAAGAGAGAACCTTGTCTCAAAAAAAAAAAAACAAACAAACAAGGTGGAGGACAAAACTGAAGAGGACACCCCCACTTGGACCTGGGGCCTTCATACATGTACGTTCCTACACACGTGAGCACATCTACAGAGGAGGACCTGCTGGGGGAGAAAGAGGGGAGGAGGGGGGAGGGAAAAGATGACAAGATGGAAGGATCGAGATGGAGGGATCGTGTGAATCAAGACTGAAGGGTTAGAATGGAATGCCCGGCTCAGAACTCAGTCTCCACCTTGTACTGAGCCCCGAGGACGAGGAATAATGACACCGCAGAAACACGCCTTCAGGAAAATGGACCGGAAGACGACATGACATGGAAAACGAGGGGAGGGTGGAGGGAACCCAACCCCAAAGCAACTGTAATGGCTCACACATGAGGTAACCGCTTGGACAGAGGGACGGAAACAGAAAGATCGCGCGGCAAGCCCGCTTCTGTGGACAAGGCAGCCCAGTGTTGCACGTGGCTAGCTATGGGGAGAACGGATGAGCTTGGGAAGATCGGAAAAAGTGAAGTCAGGGCGAGAGGGGGCGGGGGGGGGGGTCACGGGTGGGCCCGTCCTAGACTTTTGTGGAGGTGGGGACGGACACAGGCTCTGGCCTCAGAGTCCATCTTACTGTATGTCTTAGTTAGGGTTTCTATTGCTTCGACAAAACCACCACGACCAGAAAGCAAGTTGGGGAGGAAAGGTTTGGCTTACGCTTCAGCATCCTTGTTCATCACTGAAGAAGTCAGGACGGGAACTCAAACAGGGCAGTTCCCAGAGGCAAGAGCTGATGCAGAAGCCGTGCTGGAGGGGAGCTGCTTACTGGCCTGCTCCCCACGGCTTGCTCAGCCCTACCTTATTACAGAACCCAGGACTAACAGCCCAGGGATGGCACCGCCCACCATGGGTTGGACCCTGCTCCCCCATTGATCACTAATTGAGAAAATGCCTTGCAGCTGGATCTCATGGAGGCGTTTCCTCAGCTGAGGCTCCTTTCTCTCTGATGACTCTCGCTTGTGTCAAGTTGACACACAAAAGCAGCTAGTCCACTGTAAAACGAAAAGTCATGGGTATGAACAGGGAGGGGACTATGGAACCCCAAAGCAAAAGACTAACTGTGTCCCATTGGGAGGACCAATGGAGGACAAGAAATCAAGAAAAATGGAGGGAGAATACAGAGGCACTGAGTGACAGAGACGGGGCATCACAGGGTGACAGGTATACAGCTGGGGGCTGCATCTGACGCCTCTGAAACAGGCTACACTCCAGCTCCGAGCCTTGGGAACGGCCCTCGGGCTTGTAAACCTCACTCTAGAAGGATCCCTGCCCAGCTCATTCTGCTTCCTCTCCTGTAAAGGCCAAGTCCCCTGGAAGTTTCCAAGGAACTTCCTCAGGGGACTTATGTCTCTTCACAGTAAAATCCTTCATTGTCTCAAATATACACAGTGGTCCAAAGACGCCAGAGCAGAGTGTGGAACCCCGCCCACAATCCACATCACTGACTCCATCTCAAACACACACACAGTGGTCCAAAGACACCAGAGCAGAGCGTGGAGCCCCTCCCACAACCCGTATCACTGATTGCAATTACTAGGATCTACATCCCCCACTGAAACATGTGGAGGGCCACTATTCATTTCTAATACAATCCTAAAAGGCTGGGTCCCATGACAGGGAATTGTCAGTTACTGTCCAGCTTCAGGAGGACCTGCCTGTCTACACACCGGCTGAAAATTCTACTCAGTCAGTTACGGGATGTCCTTCTAATCTCTGGCACAAATAAATAAACACTCACCAAGCTTCTACTTTAATACGATTGGTTGTGTGGCATAGGCTCCAGTAGCTCACCTCCATGTACTGAGAGACTGGACTGTCACCTACAGTTCTGAGCATGGTATCGTCTGCCGAGTGGAAGACAGAACACCCTGAGGGTGCTCTGTGAGTCAGGGGTGGGTGCTGATGCATTCACTGAAGTCAACTGGGCTCAAGACCCTCTCCGTAAACCGTGCAAAACTACTTCTGCGGATGTGTTCTCATTTGATGTCTAGTGGGTAAAAAAACAATAAAACCTTCAGAGCTAACCACACATGCAGTCACGTGCATCTTCCCATTCCCAGGCTCGCATGAGTGTGTGCGTGCATTTTTAAGCGTGTGCTTGTCTGTGTCTGCGTGTGTCCATCTGTGTGTGTGTGTCTTTCTGTGTGTGCATGTGCCCGTCTGTCTGCGTGTGTGCCTGTGTGTATGTCTGTGTGAGTCTGTATGTGTGTGCCTGTGTGTACTACGTCTGTGTGCACGCGCCTGTGTGTGTGTGTGTGTGTGTGTGTGTGTGTGTGTGTGTGTGTGTGTGTGTGTTTTACTGTATGCTGAGCCCCAAACAGGGAGCTGATGCCAGGCAGGAAGGGAGGGACCTATTCTCCCAAGGTGCTGGAATTGGAGCCCTAGCCTCTCAGCTCTCCCCGCCTGCAATATAATGTATCATCATTTCTTTCGTCCTTATTTCCTGAGATGAATGTCTGTCTTCATTTCCAAGATCCTCAGATGCAGGTACACTCTTCTAACGCCTTGAATCTAAACCTCTACCCCCATCTGTGATTAACAGACCTGGTATCTGAACCTCCTTTCTCTATAGCCCTCAGATGGCCCCATTCCCGAACCTTCGTCTCCCAAAGGATGTCACACTTGCTTTCTGTTTACACTGGCCTGTGGACAGTCGCTGAACACAGAAAGCTCTGTGAAGTCACACGCAAACCCAGTCACAAGCTTGAGTGACACATCCTAAGCAAGCCCACATCACAGAAATGCTTCAAGTGCCTGACATCCAAACTGAGGAGCCCACACCCTGCAGTGCTGTCTTCCAGGGAAACACACCTAGCCAACCCTGTGCATACATTAGTCCAGGCTCTGTTGAGTCTACCAACTACCCCAGGCAGCCTGGATGCCCAGAGGGACAGTCAAGAAGAGGCCAAGTTACCAGTACCGTAGCATTCCACAGCTGAAAACTAGGAGCTTACGAAGCTGCTCTGCTCCTCACATCTCCTTGAAATGTCACTTCAACCGAGTAAAGGAACAAAAATTGTATCTGGCAGAGAAACACTAGAGCTGTGGTGTCACAATATTCCCTGCCTAAAGAGTTCCTCTTGGAACTCACCCAAAAGCAATAAGGAGCTCCACAGAAAATGCACACTCCTTCCCTGAGACTCGAAGACATCTGGACTCCCAAGGGGTGGCCAGACTTCAGTGGAGGTCACAGAGATGCGAAATGCCTGGCAAGCTCTGTCCCAGCTACGATGGAAGGTCTGGCTCTCCCAAACACATAGCACACCCCTGGCTACAAACCAGCAGTGGTGTTCTCAGAAGGACAGGGACAGATGCGCAGAACAGTTTCCCCGGGCACAGGTAGGATGAAGTGAGGAACCCCACAAGAAAGCCATATGGA